GTAAACGGGCCACACAACTTTTGAGTCATACTATACCTTTTAATTTTCATCAACGAAAGCGAACAACTGCATCCATACAGCTGTAGTTATTTGATGATGTATTACAGCATAAAATAAAAATAGAACAACTAATGCATGTTTTTCTTAGTGAGATATTTGGCAACTTTTATGCTTTACCAAGCGCTTTCACTGGGCCGCGAGTTCCGGTTCGGGATCCGAATTTCCGTTCCGCAGCATTTTTACTCTTGAATGTTTTGATCGACTACCGAGGCATCACTGTACAATCAATTTATATTGTACCAAAATAAATTGTAGTCTTTGATATTTTATCGCGGATAAAAGGATTGTCCTAACGTTCATATCTCGAAATAAAACTTAGGTGGTAGCATTGTGACAAAACGGAGTCAGTACTCAGTATTGATAAAACCAATCAAATTTGTATAATTAGTAACTTTGCAAAAATACGAATAAAAACTAAATATAATCGGGCGGTTGGAAACACTTTTTATGGTCGTGGATCGCCGTGATATTTCATAGTAATGTGTCATTTTGTCGACGCAGCCGCAAGTTACATTAAGCACACCTTTAAATAGATAAAGCTAGAATTATAAATAGACTGGGATTAGTCGTCAATTGAATACTTTTTTTTCACAAGTGGCCTGTCTAATTGCGCGGACAGTTTCATGGAAATTTCATGGCAAATCATCAGATAAGTATTCATAAGAATTTATGACTTCACGCCAAACATACACTAAATCGCCTGAATGTTTCGCGGGCCGCCCGAAATTCCATGACGGGCAGCATGCGGCCCGCGGGCCGCAGGTTCGTCACCCCTGACCTAGAGTGTGGCGGCAAAAGTTACATTTTACGAACAATATTTACAATGTTACAAAAGCAAAAGTGGAATTAAATTTTATTTCAATTTCAACAAATTTTTTGAGCTATATTTTTTATCTTAAACATTCAAATTTGGTTTTAGTTTGGTGGTTGCAGCATCATGCGGGCTAACTTAAATTAACGGACCGACAAATTAAACGAAAAACCTGTACATTTATATCGGCCTGTTTTATCCAACGATGTACTATTTATAAAGGAAATGAATACTTTGCTTGTCAAGCAATAGACATCAAAATAATCTCAAATTGGAAATTATTGAAACTCACATTTTTACTTACATACTGACGTACACGGTTCCATTACATTTGAACCCACGTACATTTGAACCCATGACAATTGCACCTGTATGCTATTGCATCTATGAAATTTTGTTTTGTTTAACGAATAGTTAAACCCATACTAACCCTAACCCATGGGTTTTAGCACCCGCATATCGATTGAACCCGTGGATATGCACATGGGTTCAAATGTACGTGGGTTCAAATGTACGGTCACCGACGTACACATATCTCAATTCAAAAACGATATTTGAAGGTGCCAGTCAACGATCAATCAGCGAATCTTTTTACTTTGCCATGGGCACTATTTTATGTATTTACGCCACTGATTAAAAACAGTCATGGATATGGTAGGATCTACTATTTTTGAAGGTAATGAATACTTAGCTTACCAAGCTAAAGCCACGGCTTACCAAGCTAAAGCCACGGGTGTACAGCGAGGTGCATTTTTCCAAATCATCTTTCATCACGGAAATGATCGTCAAGTCTAGACATCTGTTCTCTCTTGGTGTTTTTATTTTGCCTTTTGCTTTCTCACATAAAGGAAACCAGATCTTTAAATCTTCTCTGCAACATGTGAATATAAAAAAAGTATCGGTGAATTGAGGCCTGCTCTTGAATAAATAAATAGTAATCTAAGCGAGTTCAACTTACCGATTTGTTGCAATAAATTGTATTTCCAATAATACCTCACTTCGGCCCAAACTGCATGTTACTTGGTGTTCTTTAACTCTGGCGGTCGACGCACCGTGATAAATGTTAAGAGCGCGATAGCCACCGCATCTCTTAATTACCGTGCGCGCTTTTGAATCTTGTGCGGACGATTATGTGATTGGACACCCTGTATATTGAGAACTGACTTCATAACAAAATTGAAATATCAAAGCGACTTTATGGACACCCTGTATTTTTACATACAAGGTGGCGTAAACTCAGGATCACCGTCATTCAATTATAAAACCCAATCCATAAAAAAATGCAGCCTTCTTAGCCACACCTAGTCAAACAACTAGTATATTAAAAAAAGTCAAATGTTAAAAGAATACCATGCCCAAAGTTTGAAAAAAATCTAGCCTACTTCGGAGCCACACCGTATATGGACGCATTTGTCAAACAACTAGTAATAACAATTAGTCACAAAATAAAACACTCAAATGTTAAAACGAAACCTAACGATCACAAAACAGTATGATTCACAAACTACAGAGCACGCAATGAATCTTAGGGGTCGCAAAGGGTACACCAATTTCAAACACAGTACTATATCTATTGCACCATTTTAGTCTTTTAACCCGAAACATAATTATTGAAACCAGTTCAAAACATAAATCTCACGATTTCGAGAGAAAATATAGGATTAGAGAAGTGGCGCGCTTGCATTACAATGCCGACTTAACAGGGGTCGCGGAAGATTCAATATATTGGAAGGGATCGGGCGCGAAATTTCGGGAAGCTCTGATCTCATACATAGACGGTTTTGGCCGTGCACTGTAAAGATGATTAAAGAGGAGTCAATTACCAAAGTGATTGCTGTGTTAGCGTGCAACAAGAACTTTGAATTTTCCTGAAGTAAATGGAATGTGGCCAATCTGAATACACAGCGATGGTTCTGCAATTCAAAATGTTCCATCACAGCACTCGATAACGACTAGAATAGGATTTACATATTTTTCCCGCCTGCGGTGGCGAGCGTGCATCTCTTATGCTTAGCACTCTCTACCAGTGATCTCACTACATGCCCATATATAGGGGATGAAGACTCTAGCTAAAAATTTTAAACAATCTCCTAATTTTTAGGCGTGACATCACACTTTAATTCCTAACTTGAATAAAATTGCATTTGATTATCCAGAAAGTGGATTACAATATACGCCGATATCTACCATCCCCCAAATTTGGAAACACCCCTCTAAATTTGAAAAGCCGGAAAACATATTGGTCCCTACTTTTATAAAATGAAACTCTTGAAAAGTCTCATTGTACCTCCAAGGGGTACATGTACCCAGTGGTGGGATTCAAATCTTTTGCCAGCCGGTTCCTTCACAATAGTCATATTTTTCAGCCGGTTATGTTAGAAACAGAACATTGCCAGTAACCAATAAGGCAATAATGCTAACTGTACCGGCTGAATCCCACCACTACATGTACCCCAGTTTGGGAACCCCTGTTCTACAAACACAGTTCTGTCTCTGGAAGAATGATACCAATTCAGAGCCCCGTAGGAGAAGGCTGTTCATCTGACTGGCGACCATGTAGTTGTGGTTCTTTAAAGATATTCCTCACGCTTTGAAAGATACCCAGAATTTTAAAGCCAAATTTAGGGATAAGACAAAACTTTCAACTTTATCCTCGAGGAGAGGGGAGCGGACACGAATAAAAAATCATATGACGTACCATGACCTATTTTCCGGTTACCGGTTCATGTCAGGTTGTTAATTATGTAAGATTTTAAACCTTTCGGTCATCGTAAGTATAAGTGACGTAAAGGAAGCGTAGAGGTGTTGTAAACATAAGACCAGGTGCAAGGTTGGGTTCGAATTCCACTGGATTCAGGTGTAGAAAGTTATCGAGAGGGTAAACAGGGTTAGGTAAGGGGATAAGTCAAGAGAAAAAGGTACACGCAAAAACGAGCACAGATAGGCAAAAGTCAGCCTTATCTGGTTGCAAGAGAGGTGCAGACACGTCGATCACAGAGTGACCGGGGTCGGGAAAGAGACCCAAAAAGGGGTCACAGACAGGAGCTGGCTAGAATGGTTGAGAGAAAGGTGTTGTCAGGCCCAGGCAAAGAAGGGAACGCGAAAGGATGGTGTACGGTGACTAGAATCAGAAGGGGACCCAAATAACCCCAACAGATGGAAGTCGCTTATTTAACTTGGTGTCAGCTATTTACTTAGTTCATCTTACCCAGAAGCAGAGGACGTGATCTCTTACGAAGAAATTACGAGCGAACCACTAAAGTAGTTTTGACACAAGGCTTATTGTTTCCCACTTTCGCTGTGAATATTGTTCCTAAAATGTAACTTGTTATGTCATATATACATACATGGCCCACCAGTGTGGGCTCACTCCTCGGTAGACGACCTCAAAGAATAGGCTTCATGCACCGCTGCTGAAACTAGTAGAAAGGAAAAATAGTGCGGCGCATCTATAATTACCCTGCTTCTGCTCGCAGGGTCGAGTCCCGTAGTTGATAATTATGTGCAAAAGAATTGCTGGTTTTTCATATAATTAAGTGGACTCTTCAGCTCATTTCTCCCCCGGGATAAATATAAAATGCTTTATCGCAGATATGGTATATTAAACCACTTATCACCTTTTCCGCAATGCCCAATCTAGCAATCAGTGTAGTTTTTCATGGCTTGGTTTTTCTTAAAGCTTTCATGGCTTCATGAGTATGACTATCGTCGCAAATTTATTACATTCCACTCCCCACATTATCTTTGCATGAGGTTGTAGGTATTGGTCATTATCAACGTAATTGTTGAAAGAGAGTACAACAGCCCGAAAGTTTATTACTATCGTGTATTTTGTTTTTTAAGTTTAGCCCAAGCCTCATTTAATTGGGCTTGTGTTTTTGTGTGCGTGCTGGTGGGCAGGCACATGAGATACTTCATGTTTTAAACTTTTTTGTAGGTTTTGCTTGCCCTCCAGAATTCTCCATTTTAAATTTAGGTTTGTTATGGAGTTTTCGAAATAAACTATCTATCTATCTATCTATCTACATAAATTTGCAACAAAAGAAATCACGGAACCACAGCCAGAATGATCCTTCTCGAATGAAGTGCAGTCAAGCGTATTCACATGTGTAAATTCGGGAATTTTCTAAAGAAAGTCTGGTCATTAGAAGTGAATTTGGTCTTTCATCTATATTTTGTATTAAATTTGAATTTTTAGAGATCAAATTAGGTATTTTAAACATATAAATCTGTGTATAATTTCTCAATTGCAAGCTGTGTCCGGTAGAGTCGACTTGAAGACAAACTGGTTGAGAAATAAAGGTGCAATATCCCATCTTTGTTTATTGGGAAGTGGAAATGGCCGAAAATAAGGTAACTATTCTGAGAAAAATTTATTGTCTAGGTCGGCATTGAATACTGTTTGACTGATAGTCTACAACCGCTGGTTATTTCGGAACTTAGTTTCAACAATTGAGTATGAGCTGTCATGCATAGCCTATACAGCTATATGGTTGTATGGTACAATTACCGGTACTGAATTACCTGGTTTTATTGGTTAGCTTGACAATATATCATGGTTAGCTGTGTTTTCATCTTTTCACTTTTCTTTTCTGCCGAATTATCAAAATGCATACCCGGTATGTCAGACAACTAAAGCAATTGATTATTTTTAACCAAGTTTAGGCGACGGTTTGGCTCCTTTCTTAATATCTTTTTAAAATGCTCGAATATTGAAAAACATTTAGCTGTTTTGTGAGTTTTTATTGCATTTGTTTTCTGTTCAGACAATGTCTGACGAATTCAAAGCCACAGGAAACAAAGCATTAACAGAAGGAAGAATAGCGGACGCAATCGAAGCTTATACAAAAGTGAAATTACTTTCCTAGTTTCGGAGCTTTTGTATTTGTAGTATTGCTTGCATGATGACTTTCTGAGCAAAGATGTGCTTACAGGACAAGTTGATAACTCATTAACAGCACACCGTACATATGCAAAAATTTTCTTAATTTCTTGGAGCTGCCGTTAAGGCTCTGAAAAGCAAATCTCAGACTTCAACTTGTGATAATCCAAAAAGCACTAAATTGATTAATCATTTTAAACTGACAATCGAAAAAGGCATATGCTCAAATTTATGTGGCAAACATTCTGACATTTGGTACGAAGTTGGCATCAGAGTTATTTTAAACTACTCATGCATTATAAGGAAGTGAACTTGACAGCAAATGAAAATATTAAAAAAATATTCCTTTCTAAGTCCCTCACTATGGGTGTAATAAATGGGGTCTGCAGTGGAATGATTCTGACAATGGATGATTCCAGGCTTTCCATAAATACTAGCTTCTTTTATACCAGTAAATGCTTGCACAGGGCCTCGTTCAGAGTGCAGTGCAAATAATATCAAATATAATTAATCCTAAATGTGTTGATTTAATTTCAGGGAATTGAAATTGATAAAGACAATCATATACTGTACAGCAATCGTTCAGCAGCTTATGCCAAGGATGAAAAATATTCGGAAGCATTGACTGATGCAGAGAAAGTTATTGAACTGCAGCCTAAATGGCCAAAGGTAAAACGAGAATATCGGTCGGAGACCGAAGACTTATCGATCGAAGGTTAGGGGATCCCCCAAAACAGCGCTCTTACTCCATAGTGACACCGTGTGTCCTATCACTAATTAAATAATAACTCGCTAATTATACGACATGATTCATCGAAAATCAATAGGCTTCTGATCCGAGCTATGATGAATGCACATGCAAAATTTGGAGCAGATTCAACCTCGATTTCGTGAGATATCTCGTGTATCTAACAGACAGATACCTATCAACATACTTACCGATTGAAATCGATAAGTAATGATGATTGGATTCAGGATAGGATTTATAATGGGAAGGGAGAAGCCGATAGGACGGCCTAATCATATGGCGAACCATGACCTCTTGTACGGTTACCAGTCCATGTCGAGTGTGGAAGGAGGCAGTAATTACGTGAACCACTCTATGAACAGTGGATTAGATATTATTTCATTTAGCTTACTTTATTCCGACGGGTTCGCATTTAGGAATTTTTCAAATAAATAAACTATATACACATTTTTAAATCTTTTAATTTCCAGGGCTACTCACGTAAGGGATCAGCATTACAATTTCTCACAAGATATGACGAAGCCAAGAATACTTTCGAAGAAGGTTTGAAAATTGATTCAAACAATGAACAACTAAAGAAAGGACTGAAGGAATGTGAAGATGAAATTTCTAGTGAGTAACAGTGTGTTGTGAGATTGAATTGCAGTTTATTTTGTTCCTGAATAGCTATCCTATGCTGACTGTACTCAGTTTACTGTGCGTTGCTATGCACAGTTGCCCATGGCTACTGACACTTGCCGCCAGTGCCTGGAGTGCCTTTCACTTGTAACGGTTTTGGTTTTTGGACATTGATCTTTATAATCACATATATTTGTTAAACTTTCTTTCTTTTCAACCTGTATTCATAGTTAGACATTTATCACAGGTTTAGCTGCATATGGTTTTTCCCCTCACCTTTCACCATGGAATGCCATTTTCATGTCAAGTGTTTCAGGTTTATTATTAACTATCCATCGACTAAAAGGTCAACCCATAAAATAGGAAGATGCTTATTTTAATCACTAAGTTTTTTTTTTCATATAAACCTTGAATAAGACAGCAGAGGTGCAGAGAAAAGTTGTTTCTCTGTTGGTCAGTTATTAAGCGCTAATATGATTAGAACCAGGTCATGTTTATTATTTTGAAAGACCGTATACAAAATAACATTTCCCATTTCTCAGGAAAAAACTTTGACCAAAGCAGTCCGATTGGAAATCCTTTTGCGAATATCAGCTCCATACTTCCGAGACTTCGAGCAAATCCGAAAACAGCGAAACATTTGTCCGACCCGACTTACATGGCGATGCTAAAAGATTTAGAAGCCAATCCAAAGTCTTTAACAAGGTGAGTATAATATATTGTTCTGTTTTTCTATTTAAGCGAGCTGTATAGGCCCGGGTGTTGGTGACCTTCCCCTACCCTTTGAATAAACAGAATTTAAGGTATAATATTGTTACTGGACCCAAAATTTACCTTTTTTATATAGCGAATGCCTATTCACCTATTTTTCTCTGAAAAAAGCATGTAATGACATCCATTGATATCTAACGACATGTAAAAAGTTATAAGGATTGGAATCTTTCCATTTCTGGACTACTTTGGTGATGTGAAGATATCGAATGTAATAAACTATCTGCAATTCAAGATTAAATCTCCTTAAATAGCCTATATATTGACGTCATGTGTTCTTCGTTAAACATGAATAGCATATTACATATATAGTTCAAATAATACAGTTTTGGCCAACCGTGATTAAACACTTATTCTATCCCCAGGTACCTGACAGACCCCAGAATGACTGAAACAATCGGGGTTATTTTGGGGGTGGATATAATGAGCCCCGATGCATTTCAACCACCACAACCGAATATGTCAACACCAAGCGAATCAACGTCAAAACCTGCTGAACCGGAACAAAAACAAGAAAGTATGGAAACGGAGGAATCCGATGAAGTTAAAAAAGTAAGTGTTTGCGTTTGATTTATAATTTCGCTTTGACCAGGAGTCTGTACTAGTGTTTCCCAACCAACTGGTCACGGGCTTAAAACTGGGTCACTTGTTTTATATTGAAGTGTTTCATAGTAGTAATTGGGTGCTCCCGGAGTATGCAAACCAAGATGGCGGACATCGGAACGTTACATGTGTAACAGGTTAGGGTTAGGCGATAATGTTTTTCCAACTTTCCTTATTTTAGTCCTATTATCAGTTCGAAGACTAGCCAAGAGCATCCCGTAGTATTTATACCTAAAATTATGGCCTAACCCTAACCTAGTACACATATTACATTCCGATGTCCGCCATCTTGGTTCGCATACTTCGAGAGCCCCAGTAATTGTATATGGGGGAAGTATCGCAGCGTAAAACATTCTCATTTTAAGATAATTTCTGGTAAAATTAATTGTTTTATATCAATAATTTGTTTACGACTATAAAAGCAGCATCCTAGGGTTGCTTGAAAAAAAGGTCGAGAGAGAGGTCTAGACAAGTAATAAATGGGTGAATGGGGCTTTAGGAATTTTGGAAAGACCAATTTCTCCAGTTTGGCAATGCTGAGTTTAGGTTGGGTGGCAGGGTTGACAATACGAACCTATCCCAAGGAATTCACTCGTCTGACACCGCATGGCGTTTATTCCAGGGTTCCCCAAACTGTGGGTCGCGACCTTCCAAGAGGACGCGCAGCGAATTTTAGGGGTCGTAAAAAGTATGTCAATTTCTGTACTATCGTAATAATCTAGAAGCGCTTGCGTAACAATGCCGATTTAACAGGGGTTGCGGAAAATTTTTGAAGCCCTGGTTTATTTGTATAACAAGGATTTTTGTTTTTCAGTCATTAGAAGAAAAAGCTCTTGGAAATTCGTTCTACAAGAAAAAGGAATTTGAAAAAGCACTGGAGCATTACGATAAAGCGATCGAATTGGACGGCACAAACATAACCTTTTACACAAACAAAGCTGCTGTCTATTTTGAACAAGGAGATTATGATAAATGTCGCGAAACCTGTTTCAAAGCTGTTGATGTTGGACGAGACCACAGAGCTGATTATAAACTTGTGGCAAAGTGAGTTATTTGAGCAGGGGTGTGCTATAGGCGGCCCCCGGGCCCACCAAGTCATTTAGTGTGATTCTTTTTAACACTCAGGTGTTTTCTCATTAAGTATAAAATAGTAATAAGACAGTTTATGTTTAAAAAGTCATTCACATGGTTAAAAATAAATAATGTTTTTTTTTTGCTTTTGTTGCTGCACTAAATCTACTGTCTTTTGCCCAATTGCCTCTATTGCTAAGCATTCTCTCAGAGGGTTTACTGACAGTAAACCGAGCTCACAGCCAAACGAGTACAATGGCTGATAATTTCTCAGAGATCCCGAAAGCATATTCCATTCCCACAATTTGATCAAGGCTATAAACAGACAGCAGCTCGTGTCTAGGGCAGTAGCGTAGCCCCCCATTTAAAATGTGAAAAATAATAATCATCTCTCTGTATCATACATAACAAGCAATTTTCAGAATTTAAGATGAGCTTTTTAGATGATCGGGACTCTTGAAAACCCAGGTTTCTGTCTTCGGCCAAACTTGGCAATTTAAGACGAAATTTAAGGACTTCCCCATTTAAAAATGCTGGCCACGCCCTTGGTCTAATGTGCTATCATTCCCGGAAAGACTAGAATCTTTCCGTTATAGCACGGGGCTGGACCAAAACCTGCAGCACTATAATGTTTATATTACTGTTTTCCAGAGCGTTTGCAAGGATTGGAACCTCTCACATGAAAGAGAAGAATTTTTCCGAAGCCATAAAGTACTTGAACAAGTCTCTAACTGAGCACAGGACCAAGGATACGTTAGAAAAACTACAAGCTTGTCAAAAAGCCGTCAAGGAAGCGGAAAGATTGGCATATATTAATCCTGATTTATCACTGGAAGAGAAGACTAAAGGAAATGAAGCTTTCCAGAAAGGTGGGAATTGACACTAGAGCAGATCTTACTGCCTGCTGTGCTATGTAAGACGGTGTGTCCTACCAGTTAAAGCGTTGAGACCAGTGGTAGGCCGTAGCCGGAACGACGTTCCGGTTGATAAATATTGCATTGCAACTGCGTTCATGTTGTTCAAATAAAATTTTGTCATGGAAAGTTTAGTTTCTCCGGTGAACTTAATTAAAGAACAACTGTTCGTTTTGTAACGTCATAATTGTTTATACATCGCAGCAGACAAATCATGTAAATATAATTTTGAGGATGGATATAAAGTAATTTTGGCGAATTAGTTGCGTTCCGGTGGTTCCGATTTTACCAACTCATCACTGGTTAAGACATGACTGTGCTGGCAACACAGTTTCCGAATTGCATGCCCACCCGCTTTACCCAGGTTGTAATAAATTAAATAGGAACGCAGGGGCAGAAATTTCCAATTCCACACAAGGGGCGGCGGTCAGGTGATATTGAAGCGGGGTTACGAAATTTCTAATTCAACTCAATTCCGGTGGGCCATATAAATTGTTATACAGGGCCTAAACTGGGGCCCAGGATTCAGAAACCACTGCCTCAAAGGATTCACATATCTTTGTTTTCTTTTCAGGTAAATTCCCGGATGCCGTTAAATTTTACACAGAGGCAGTCAAGCGTAACCCTGACGATGCTAAGTTATACTCGAATCGCGCCGCAGCCTACATGAAGTTGATGGAATTCAGTCTGGCATTGAAAGACAGTGAAGAATGCATCAAGAAGGATCCAACTTTTGGTAATTTATACCTGCCAATTTGTGGAAATGGGATAAAATTTATTGATGTTATCTCATATCGACCACCTCTTAATATGGTTACCGGTCATAGCGGAAAAAACGAGAAAAATTTTGTTGAGGAAATTAAATTCTTATAAGAGCGTACCTGCGTACGCAAGCTTTCCTTAATAAACTGCCAACATTTCACAAACTTAGTGCGTTTCTGTAATATAAAACTCTAATTTCCACCTCCGGGCAGTTAAAAAGCACTCGGACTCAATAACAGCCGAAACCAAATAGTAGTGTCCAAAATATTTCTCCCTTTTTCATAGTAATATTGTAAGTTTAAATTTCATTGTATGATAAATGAGAACTACAAGTACAATGAGAACTATTTATAAACAAAGACAAATGATTTTTTATTTGGTATTACTAGAAAATATATATAATTATTATTGTTATATCCATTTAATTAGCACTAATGAATGAAGGCCATTTTGCTTCTAATGAATATAGTATTCCAAATTATTTCTAATCCCTGAGAGTCTCATTTACAAGACCGAAAATTTAAAATTTAATTATCACCACTTCCTACTTTTCTTCCCCAGTCAAAGGTCACATTCGAAAAGGAGCTGCGTTAGAAGCAATGAAGGAGACAACCAAGGCGATGGATGCTTATCAGAAAGCTACGGATCTGGATCCTAATGCTAAGGAGGCTTCAGAGGGATATATCAGATGCTTGAATGTAAGTAGCGTTTTTGTATTTGAGAGAGGAAAAATGATAAGATGGCTTAACCATATTGTGGACCAAAGCCCTTTAGTGAAGAAATAGCTGGGTAATTTGTAAGTTATGTGGGCCTTTATAGCAGAGCTACTCAACTATTTTTACTGAATTTCCGCGCATAAAAATTCAAAAATATTTGGGTCCGGACTTCTCTCCTAAACACGTAATTCCTCGGCCGACTAATGATTATTAGCTAATCAAGATTGTTTGTTATGGTGTTATAGTTCTTTTCATATATATTTTTAAATCTATAAAAATGATTTTTATAAAAGGAAACTTCAAAAGTGGGGCTAATGATCCAAAATAAAGAATTATGCGCGGTACGTATTTGGACCGCGTTCCGCCAGTTGAGTAGCCCTGCTTTATAGGATAGGTTATTCATGTCAAGAGAGGGAAACTGATAAAATGGCTTAATCATAGAGTGAGATTTGGATGAGAGAAGAGAGAGTTGAAACAATTTAATCATCTTTTCTGTATAGGAATAGCTGAGTCATGTAAGCCTTTATAGGATAGGATCTCCTTATTTAGAGAGGAGGAGAGACAATAAAATGGCTCAATCACAGAGTAAGATTTGTATATTTATACTGAGAAGAGGAGAGCTGTTGAGACGACTTAATCATGGTTTAGGAAATTCATATTTATCTCTGTGGGGAGGAAAGTTAATAAAATGGCTTCTCAACTGGTTACCAGTTTATGTCCAACCTACCAGAATAATAAACATTTTATGTTGGTAGTGATACACAAAAATATGAGATATATATTATTGCTACGGTATGAGACAAGAATGTATATTGGTAAGTGCATTAAATTACAGTACAGTACAAAATTCTAAGACAAAAAAATTACTTGGAAAAATAGTTGCTCTTATCTAATCATAGTTGGAAGTAAAATTCACCCAAGTTATTCAATTAAAAGTTAACAGGAGTTCAAAAATAAAAAAAACTATGCGTTTTCCTCATTTACTCCAAATAGTTCTTGGGTCCCTCAAAGCTCTTAACATGGGTGGAGGGGATATATACATACAGGGCGTGCATAGTTGAAATACATTAGAAATTACTGACAGTGGTGGCATATGCAATAGAGGCACCATGGTAAATGATTAGCAATTGAGCAGAGACTTTGTTACAGCTTCCAGCCAAGACTTCTTTAATAATGAGTTCTATATTTAGTGAGTGAATTCAAAATTGGTGAAGGACTGAAGGTAAAGGTATGAATATATATCAAAAAAAGTCAAAAATCAGGACAAAAATTTCGTCTAGGATCATATTCTATTATAGATATTTCAAAATGTCTGAAAATTTTCACTGAGCGCACATCTATACTCTAAACAAAACTATAAACATTGATATTAATATTAGGAATTGAAGAAGAAAATAATTACTCAAATAGATATATTTCATTATTTGTAATAAAATAAGTATTATAAATGTGAAAAAAACAATTCGATCAGTGGGCAAGATGGCCTTAAATCGTTGGAGACTTAACTGTGATGCATCGCAAATCATAATCTCTGTTCCAAATCCTAATATGTTGAATAGGCGATTCCGAACCGCAAACATTCTTGTCTATCCAAATAAAGCTCATCACCATATGCTCATACTTGTTAGAAGCAGAGGTACAAAAAAGAGCGCTATGGAAGTATGTGTACCAATATGGAGGTAACTAATTTTGTTCGCCTACTCGACATAGAGTTGTGTGAAGGAACTGAAACTTATGGGCAGGGGGTATATTCACTTGATTAACAGAGACAGTCCCCGAACTCGCGTAATAGGACTAAAATAAGGTAAATCGGAATAAAAATTATGGCATACCCCTAACTTCGGGAGCATCAAAAAAAAAATTGTCACTCCTATAATTTCTAGCAGGTACTAGCGATCATTTAAAATATAATTCTAATTTTCAGAATGACATGCAGACTCGACATGACCCAGAATCAGTTCGCCGACGAGCGATGGCCGATCCTGAAGTCCAAGAAATCATGTCTGATCCGGCCATGAAGATGATTTTGGACCAAATGCAAAATGACCCAACTGCTGCATCAGAGTAAGTTCCTGAAGGATTATAGGGATAATGGAATTAAGCAAGCAGTTTAATGATTAGGATAGGAAAGCCGATAAAGCCACTTGTGTGAGAGCATTCAGATGATTCTAACAATGCCATTCATTATCAGCCTAATCCAGAGTGTAGGCTGGGTCACAGCACATCTTAACGAACTTGAAAAAGTAGAATTCTAAATCTGGTTTCATTCTAGTGTTATTTTGATTGGTAGATTCCAAATCCCATTATGTTCAAGCAATTCATGCTCAACAAAGTTGAAACACCCCAACACATCACTGAAACTTGTTGGATGCAATCATACAGAAACGGAAATTTAAATAAATTTTTTGCATTTACAAGTTTGTTAGTCATTATTACCACTCATTAGTTTGCCACATGCATGCAAGACCTAAACCAAAATTGATTCTATTCGCAGGCATCTGAAGAATCCAGAGATCAGGAAACGAATTCAAAAACTGATGGATGTTGGATTGCTAACAATTCGATGAAGGAAAGGTCATATGGGACATGAGACGAACAAAGTTCAAAATATCGGAAGACAATTTTTATACTGTGCGTGTACCATCTAAGAGACAAACTAATTTAGACTATGTGGGCCAACCAGTAATTGTGCATATATATGTAATTTCTAAGGAGAATCTTATACACTCGACCCCAACATTTCTGAAAAATTCGATGAGCTTAAATGGGAAAGGAAAATGACAATTTTTATACAATGTGCAGTATCTAAGTTTAGATGTTTGGGAAAATCATTCTTGTAATTTCCAGATTATCCAAAACTGAAACCGGTACAGCTTTGGGACAAGTTTAATTTTTTATACTTCGCGCCTCATCCAATAGAAATTTAGACACTTAGTTACACTATCAAGCTAAATGACTTTCAACTGTGACCCTGGATTTGCATCAAACGGCCTTGATCGCCAGCTAGCTAATTGTGAAAGTTTGTTGTATCTAATTCAATTATTAATAAAGCCCAGATATTGAATCACCTGCATTACTACTTTGGTAAGCGAGTTTTGAGCAGATCACACAGGTCTGCAGAGTTAGTGAGACGTCTCGAAGAGGCAAAAATAGGGAGGGTAGTTCTTATCATATGGCCCGACGGCCCTTTCGTTCACAACAGGGGCATGGGAGAGTAATTTGCTATTATGAAGTACGCATTCGCAAAAAAGGGTCATTCCCAGTTCTGCAGCCCTCTGGGTTCAAGTTGCCTGTTGGCCCTTTACTGGGAGGCTGAACAAAAATCATGACTTACTAGTTACTACCCCACTTTCAAGGCACTATAGCGTTAATCAAAATAGCTTGCTTGTATAGGTACTGTGACTCTAATTGGAATATAATTTAATCATATGAATAGGCAGAAGACTCTTAGGTGTTGTGCATAAACGGCACAATGAGGGGGGGGATTAACTCGTCAAAATTGTTTTCCCCATTGTCCTTCTGACCAGGCCATAGTAGGTTTATAATCTAAAGTCAGTTTGTACTCCACATACATACAAAAGCTTGTTTTCAATATTAGGCCCGGATTATCTAAACAACCATTATTATCAATAGCAAATCTATAATAGATTGGCCCTAAAGTGCACAGTGCCTATATTCACCTACCGTAAATAGCCATTGAAAAAGGATGTCACAGGACGGGAACTCATTTTAATTAAAAAACAAGGTATAAATAGGTATTGTTCAAGAGTTAATTCGTATAATAGACAAGCCCTAGTAACCGTCGCCCATAATAGTACAGCTGTACAGGGTGTTCAAAAATAAGTGAGACCCACCAAAATCTAAGTAAAGGGTTTTATTTAACTTGGGGCACCCTATATTAATGTAATCATACAAAATTCATTCTCAGTATAGGCAGGTCAAGAAGTAGGATAATATTGCATAGGGAACATGATCTGAAGATAAATTATTAGTTCAACTAGATAACCATAGTCAATGGTAGCATAATGGAAGACTCTCCCGGGCCCTGAGTCTGTCTTCATCAGAAACTAATGATAAATGGGTGCTCCGGAAGTATGTGCAAGATGTCGCACAACCTGAATCCTAACCTGTACACACATACTATATTCAGGTTGTGTGCCATCTTGGTGGGCATACTTCTGGAGGTCCGATAAATGTTGTCATATAATATATAAACAAGAGATTGGTGATCAAGAAGGCCAAAACGAAGTTGTATGGGTATCATTCACAGTACCAGCAGTCAGACTATGTTATGGAACCGCGGCAGGTAATTTATGATGACGTCATCACACAAAACTTTGAAGTGAAAAACGAATTACATGGAAATCACAGATATTTTTTGAAATAAATAAAAGTAATGGCCATCTAGCGACAACAACAAGCTTTAACGTAGTAATTGATCCATTGGTTGGGGAGGATGCAAGAACAAATCGATCCATAGGTTCACTTTAAACTGGATTTATAACCAACAGCCTCGTGAGTGGGTATTATGCGGAAATTACTTTTATAAATAGCCATGAATGGTAACACCTTCATAGAACAAGGATTGATTTATAATTGATTACTGATTATAAAGTTGGTACAGGTATTGTGCATGTATATGAAAAACAGATAGGTCTAGAAATAGTATAATTCTGCATAGAGGCAGGCCCGAAAAAAAGAGGAGGAACTAGTTAAATGATTTACTCATCTAAATAGCCATCATCCACCCTCTAAAAAGGATAATTCTGCATAGAGGCAGGCCCGAAAAAAAAAGGGGGAACTAGTTAAATGATTTACTCTTCTAAATAGCCATCATCCACCCTCCAAATATGATAACTCCGCAAAGTGGCCCAAAAAGGGGGGACGGGGGAACAAATAATTTACTCATCCAAATAGACATCATCATCATCCACCCCCCTAAATGGGATAGTTCTGCATAGTTGCCCAAAAAGGGGGGACGAAGGAACAAATAATTTACTCATCTAAATAGCCATCATCACTAGTATCATCATCATCATCATAATCATCATCATCGTCATACATCAAGCCCCCAAACCCATTATCTAACCCTAGCAGGGGCAGAGGTAAATGAGGCTGAAAGAAAGGAGCAAATAGGTTGGGAACAGTTTGTAGCTGTGAATTGCCATTTACTTCATTACGATTTCGCATCATGTTGTTGCAACCTCGATCGAACTCAGCTCGGAGTTTGGATATCTTGTTGGCAATATCTTGGTTGTGCTTCAGTTTCTGAGATTCTCCGAAACACCATAATGCTTCTACTGGTCGGCACATTCGTAATTCGACTTCTCCCAGCTGTGCAAATGCTCTAAAAATATTGATTGGAGTTAGGATCACACGCTTGCCACTGTACCTCCCCTTCATAGATTCGAATCCCATGGAGAATAATTAAGTGCGAGAGGATTACTGGATTCCTTCACATTGTGGGGTGTTTATGAAACCTGCAGTCGGTTATGGATTTCACTGCCAACAAGTCATCAAAGCTAAACATCAAAATTTGGCTGTGGCAGCATCAAGCGGGCCAGATTGAATTACATAACGGGCTGTAGTTTGCCTATGTAAGATATATATATACTCTTGTTCAAAGATAGTACTCCTGAAGTTTTGACATTCCCAAGTACCGTAGTCCACATTAACATCACTCATGCTATTTACGGTCTGCAAGTATACCCTGAACCACCCCTGAAAACTTCCAAATAGGGAAACTGACCAGAAGTCAATATCTATACCAGGGGTTCCCAAGCTTTTCTCAGGACGACCCCAAAGACAATTTCTAAATGTAACTCAATGCATATATTTGTTCATACAGCTACAGTCCAGCGATGATTGCTAGAGCGTTTTGAATCAGACATCAATCATTGCTGTGCTGTAGATGTAGTGTAAATTCGGGGATCCCGAAGTATGCGAACCAAGATGGCAGACATCAGAATGTAATATGTGTACTAGGTTAGGGTTAGGCCATAATTTTAGGTATAAATACTACGGGAGGCTCTTGGCTAGTCTTCGAACTGATAATAGGACTAAAATAAGGAAAATTTGAAAAAAATTATCGCCTAACCCTAACCTGTTACCCATGTTACGTTCCGATGTCCGCCATCTTGGTTCGCATACTTCGGGAGCATCGTAAATTCTTTCAACTTTATTCATTTACCAATTCGCTGTATTTTCTTGTTAAATAACATTTACTTGTGTTATATTTGAATTTAGATTCATTCTAAGTGTGCTTTAGATTTAAGTTCAATAAAACCTTATATACTACATTTCTCATGCATTACACAGATCGATATATATTTAATTGAAAAATAAAGAAATTACAAAACAAAAACTGTTTGAAAATTTCTTTTATTGGGAATGGTCATTGTTTAATTTTAATCAATTTCCTGTATCTGGGGATATAGGATATCTAACAACATACCAAAGAATTTTACAAGTTAATGTTTGTTATTCATTTTTAATGAACACCATTAACTGATAACAAAATATCTTTACTGCAGAGTACAAACAATTCTACTCTGCAGATCAACAACGTCTGAACGTGCCATTCCATAATGTACAATCAAACAGTGATGTCACAATAAGCACCTACATTTTCTATAGCATAAGCATAGAGCGATGCCTATAGGCCTGTTTTACAGTAAGCCATGGTACAAAATGCTAAATTTAACATGGTTTGTCAAATCTTAGATGTTTGTACATCCATCCTCTACCATACCTCAGCAACACCACCGACCCCATGACCTGTTTGCGACCCTACCTACTTATCACTCCGACCCAATTTGGGGTCGCGAAACCTGGTTTGTGAACCCCTGATCAATACAGTGATGAAATTTCCTACTTCCCAAAGATTCAGACAAGTCCTGGTTGGTTTGACATGAAGATGGAAAACAAAGATCTTTCAAAAAAAGTCGAGGTTGACTTTTATTAAGATCTCCCAAGCTTACCTTGATTTGAGTCTGTCCTCTCCTTCCTCTGCCAGTCGTAATGCTTCATTGCACTCTTCTTTGCATTTCTCCAAGTCTCCTTGTGCAAAGAAAACCTCAGCTATGTCAAGATGATACAGCATTTTCTTTGGCTCAAGTTTTATTGCCGACTCATAGCATCGCAATGCATCACCGAATTCGTAACGCTTGAATGCACGTTTTCCAGATTGTTGAGATTTCATTGCCTATAAAAAGGTTTGGGTGTTACGTCGTAGGCAAAAAGCAGTACTCGGTGGTTCATGTACGTGAGAATGCAGCAATAATTATCCGCTAGTATGTGGCAGGCATGTATGCAATTGGTGTATTTTACAGCCATAAATTAAAATTCATTGAAGACCTACTGAGTGCTATATATATGAAGGCCTGGCCATATGGCTAAAGTCTGCCTCCGTGATTTCACCAACACCTCTCCACCCCCTAAAATTTCAAACATCCCTCATCCACGAATCTTGAGGTGCGACACCACATTTTAAATTCCTAACTCGAATATAATTGTATTTGAATATTCATAAATTAGCGAATATACCTACAGTGCAGCTGATCAATCAAATACATAACATATATTCATAAATTACAAATAGTTTCATCGCTAATAGCACAATAACTACCTCCCCCTTTAAAATAATGGATACTCCTGTAGTATGTGTACCAGGTTAAGGTTAGGTCATAATTTTATTCCGATTTTTCTTATTAAGTTCTATTATGAGCTCGGGGACTGTCTGTGTAAGCCAAGTGAATATACCCCCTGTCCATAGGTTTCGGTCCCTTTACACAACTTGATGTAAAGAAGGCGAACAAAATTAGTTACCTCCATATTGGTACACATACTTCTGGAGCGCCCTAAAATGAGCTAGGGAGCATACTGGTTTGCCTTCTGATAGTCCCAAAATGAGAGAAATTAGATTAGATTCACAATGATAACTACCTGGGCATAGAGTGTCTGTGATCCTCTATCTGGCCTTGATCTTCCAACTTCATCGTTGAAACTGTTAATCAAAAAAATAGATTTATTCAAGCCCGACGCTTTTATTACCCAGCGGGTTAGTGGGATTCAATTTTGTGGGGGAGAATTGAAGTGAATGCTAGAAAACGCTGAACTCCTTGACACCATAGGGCAGGGCTACTCAACTATTTTAACCGAAGATCCGTTTAGAAAACTTCAAAATTACTGGGGTCCGGACATTACAGAATATTTTTCCATTAAATAAACGAAACGTTAAATAATGGCTCGCAAATATAAACACAAATGTCGCATATTGGTACCAGTACGACAAACTTTATAGCTGTATATTTAAATTGTATCAAAATCATCTGAAAGTACCTAACGGTGCTTATGCTGCCAAAACAAACAAGCAGACGCGGTCCAAATTAAATAGTCGAAAGGGCGGATTCAGACCGCGGTCCGCCAGTTGAGAAGCCCTGCTATAGGGTACACCAGGGGGGTCCAAGGCTGTTAGCTCCGTGGGCCACAAAATTATTTTTGCATTGTTCGCGGGTTACAATAGTGCCAAGAATAGGTAAATAGTGCAATGAAAAACAACACTTTTATTGTGCAAACACATAGTTGTCAGACATAGCCATTCTAGGCTAATAGAGTCTGCATTCGATTTTTAGTTCTCCACGATGCCTATATTATTAGCATATATTCCCGACAAAAGATAGAAAGCCAGATAATAATTTAGGTTGCCAAGCACATCATTCAACTTCGCTAGTTGCCTCAGCTAGCCATTACACTAGTCAATCCAGTGACATTAGTGATGTAACAATATGTCAAAAGATTTTCCTGAATAATTTTATTACGAAACCACACGGAATGTTATTTATTGATTACTCTCCGAATTTGACGCGGGCCTGAGTTTGGACCACCCTGGGATACACCATCAAGTACATGCATCTTAGATGAGTATAAATCACTATTTGCTCAATAGAATATTAGCTAATTATTAAACAATGAATTACCCACTGTGTGAAAGGAAAATTATGAATACTAATAAATATATACCGGTACATAAAGAAATGCACAATGCTATTAATAATCCACTATATCTAAAGCAATTAACTGGTCAAATAATCCCATACCCGACATGGACTGGTAACCGGATAAGAGGCCGTGGTTCGCCATAAGATTAGGCCGTCTTATTAGATTTCTTTTACACACAGAATAAAATAAGGAAAAATCTTGGAGTCGGCGAGAAGAAAGCTGCTTGTTCAGAGTCTTGCACGGGATGTGAACACTTCCTGAAAAATCACTCACCCTACTGAGACCTCAAAACAGCTTGATTTCACTCCGTAAGTCCTTGCAACACCATCACAAACTTTTCTCAAATCAAAATTTATATTTTCTAATCGTTCATCCTCATTTTTGATCTCCTTCACAAATTCTGCTGATGCAATGATCAATTCAACGGAACGAGTAAAATTTGAGTCGTCAAAGAGTTGTTGCTGAAGTTTCCTGTGTGAATATTTTAGATTTAAAATACCTTTACTTTGAGTGTGTTTTCATCAGTTAATTCAAGCGCCAAGTTTAATAATGAAAAGCGAACAAATTATGGGACACGAATAAATATAAGATAATTCTGCACAGTCACGCTTCATTGATTTCAAAAATATAGATGGGAAAATATCTTAGATCTTACTTTCTGTTACATAGTATCCGCCTTTATTGTTACGTAACAATAAAGATCGACACCACTTGCTACAAATTTGCCAGCTTAGCAAACATGAGTGATTTGTTAGTATTTCAAAGAAAAATCAGGCAGAGATGAGAAAGAAGAGTTGACATTTTGCTTTTATTCCTCAGGCATATCAACAATCTTATCAAATCAGGATAGGACTATTCAGACACACTCCGTTGAATTTAGATGCATCTAAAAACACTCACTTAATTTCCTGCAGTAAAGTTGGTACATCTTCTGACGGAATCTGTACATTTGGCAACAATTGATTCAATTCTGTCAGAAATTCTTCAGCTGAATGAGAATAAAACACAAGCTTTGCAGTTAAGAGAGTTGACGAAGTCAATAATTCACCATTTATCAAAGTTGCCACTCTATTTCTGATTCAAACTCCACACGAGTGTCTGATGACCTCTGACTATGAACATAGCCAGCCCAGAACTTTAAGGGAGACCAAATTTTTTTTTATAAAATTACGTAATATTACGCTTACTCAGGACTTCTGCTCTGAAAACTGAATGATACCTAAGAATATCTTGAAGATCTCTCAAGAGACTCATTCCGCTGTGGAAGTTATCCAAGGTATACAAGAGCGCATTTTCATATTGGTTGGTTCATTTGGTGTAAGAAATATTGATAGCAAGCCATGAACAGTCAGTTTTCAGTAAATTGTCCAAGAATAGAGCAAAATAGTGCTGGAAAACGCGTAAGAATTTAGGTCTCACTGCAAATGCTGCGATAAAATCGTATTCAAAAAAAATGTTGAAATTTTTAAGGACATGGGCAGCATGGCCCCTCGGACCGCCCTGGCTACGCCTATGGCCTCTGACTCGGTAGAGACTTTTACTCAGCAATGACATTTATTAATTAGTATAACTTAATAGCTTGCAGTTGGTAACATAATGTTTCCCATATTCATCTCAAATTAACTAACTATTGATTTTACAATTACGGTACATGCTATTTTGTGAAGATTATATGCTATTCTTAATTATCTTTAGAATACTATCTCGTTTAAGCATCCTTGTGGTACAGCACAAACAGATTCAAGTAAACAATGAGAAAGGGTAAAGTTTCTACTGTATAGCAAGATGCACCATCAATTTCCAAGCAAATTCAACACAAAAGTATAGAACAGTTATACATAACAAACCTTGATCAAATTCCTTCATCTCATAAGCAGAAACACAGAACTCAAGAAGCTTCCACAGCTTTGCGTTGTTGTCTGCTGAAGTTTGGATTTCATTCCGCAGTTTTATCAGCCTCCATACTTCAGTGCTTTTAGAGCAGGGATCTAGAAAGGTATAAAAGACATAAATCTTTAACTCTTTAAAGTCTGGGAGAGGGGACCTCCTGGGAGGTTAAACCCTTAACTATAAGCCATTTGAAAAATGTCTTCAGCTTTGATATGGCCTAATGTTGGCTCCTTACGTTTAATGTTAGAAACTAGCTTATCATACATCACTAATTACTTAACGATTTTGTTTGGATCAGCTAAATGCCCTAGGCCAAGCAAGGGTGTGACCCTAACCTCTGCACTTGTAGCTGATATTTTCAAGAAACAGAAAGCTAGCAAATGCCAAAGTATTTCTTCAAATCATGTTATACAAGTCTTCAATGTTTCAAAATCCTGAGGTATGATGATACAAATACCATGGGCAGATGATTGCTGGACTCCCAACCGCCACAGAGTGGTTCATATAGCAACTACAGGTTAGTAAAAGCATCTTTCACCACAACCAAATTTATGCGCGAGAGGGTTGATGGACTCCTCGCCGCCGTACGGCTTCCTCCACCATCAAGTCCATGCTTCCGAAAACAGATAACTGGCCAACTAATCCCATACCCACCCTTGACTGATAAGCGGGCAAGAGGCCACAGTTCGCCATCTTACCGGCTTTTCTCTTCTCCGGGATAAATATGTAAATTCTATCCTAAATCCCTCCAAGTTTATAGCAACCCAACTGTTGGGGGTTCACGAAGTGGTTAGACCGTCTTGTCGGCATTTTTTTTTTCCTGGATATTTATCGAAAAATCTATCACAGTCTCACCAATAACACCAAATGGCTGAGCATTTTACCTGTTGCCAGATTTCCATTAGCTCTGTCCGATTTTTTCTTCTTTTTATTAGATTTTGATTTCATGCTGGGAGAAGAAGTTGAGATAGCAGGTGATGAGAGTAGGGCTGGTTTCTGTGTTCTGGTGAATAAAACAGCTAGTTCAGTCACAGGATAGAGTGAACTCAGTCAGTAGTTTTTCACCAAAATGAAAATGCACTCACAGTGAACATAAACTTAAAAAAGTTGAAAATGACATTTCATGGTGTAAGGTGACGCGAAAAACCAAAGTTGGTTATCGAGCAGCGACACCTGTGATAAGAGTCTAACTTGTACTGATTGTATGAGAAATGGAATCAACTATCTACATGCCTAGTCACCATAAATGGTAGTACAAATAAAAAGGTTAAAGTATAAAATTTTGAATGGCTTGGATGACCGGCGTTACCTTTAATAGGTTTCAGCCATTTTATGTTTTTAGTCATGATAATACCATCTAATGGCGGATGTGATGAATCGGGAGCTTCTCGGTGGATATCATGCGGTGTGTGTGTTACACGTCACACTTAGTATGTATGAAAGATGGGATGGCGGAAGTCTTACCGCGCACGGCATAGACGGAAGCCCCGGGGGAAAAGCTATGCAGTGATATACAGCATATACCGAACCCCGGGGTGGAAGTCTCTGCCAGGCAATGGCGCATCTAGTACCAAAGCCTCCATAAGTTTATGACTGCTGCTTATGCAGTGGCAAGCTTAGGAAGCGTTATACCGATATGACTCGGATAAGACGTGTCTTTTATGACACTGATCAGAGTTGGGGAAAATTCTGATCCAAAAAAAAAAATAATAATTCAGCCATTTTATGCGCCCGGTTTCCCAATACTAAGAGAGGGAGAGATTTATTGTTTCATCAACAAGAAAACAAGCAATGGGACAATAAAATTTATGCAATATAGGCCTACACAAGTTAATTTGGTATGAACTGGGTGGAGATCAGAGTCAGCTCAATGCTTAATAACAAAGCCAACGAATAAAAGCAGAAGAATATGATATATGCATTACGGTTATTAAAGAACTGAATGAATCAGTCAATTACTGTTCTAACAGCTGTGCATGTTTCACTAGGTTGTCTGTTTATTTAACATTTATAAAACAAAACTCACAACAGTCTGATCAGAGTAATTTTCAAGTTCTTTCCCTGAATTTCTGGGAGGAATTTCTGAATATTTTCCTTCATTTTTCCAATAATTTCGTCCAAAATTCTTCGTTTATCTTTCCTTTCAACATCAAATACAAAGGAACAATCTTTAGGATCCAAAACCCAGGCTGTGATCTGAAAATTGGATGTTGCAGTCGAAGATGAAGTTCACATGTTTATCCCTGGGGGAAAGAAAATCGCTTTCCCAACTCCCTCTCATCCAGTTACCAGTTTATGTTAGATATGGGAATAGTTAAGCAGGTATTTGTTTCAGATGCATGGACTTGATGGTGGAGGAAGTCGTAACTGACTAGTGGTTACATGAACCGAAGAGTCCCAAGAGTCTACGTGTAAGAGTCCAGCAAATATTTCGTAAATGAATATCCCCCCCAAAAGATATCGAAAACTGGGGCAGAATGGAATGCACCAACCGCCATTGTAGGTATTTAAGGAAAAGAAGTAGCCTATAGCAATACTTTTGTAATTAATTATTCCATACAGGATTTGAAACTGGGTACCCCCGCATCATAAAAAGAGATGGAATGGAAAGCATCAACCGCCATTGTAGGTATTCAAGTTTATTCTGTGTATGAAGTCCAACCATTGTGCTTACCTCTGGATAAGACTTGTACAAGGCCCAGATGAAGAGAACAGCAGGAATCCCAGTCTCTAACAAACCATCAATCTCATTCTGATCCGAGATGAAATGGAAAACCCATGATCCAAATCTAGATATTGGAACCTGCAGAGTAATTTTCAAATGTCACTCATTCATGTTTTTCTAATTGAACAAGAAGCGAGAAAATGGCAAAAGAATGCAAGAGAATTTATGTTTAGGGATGAGCAATTCAGAACACAGAATCCAGAGGAAACTCACCTTCAATTTACCGATTTGCAATACCTTTCCAGTACAATCCAGTTCATCCTTCTGAATTCCGCTGAATTTGACCTGAACTTTTATAGAACCAGCGATTAACGAAGCACATATTGAATAAATTATTCGAAGGTATTCAACAATCATAATTTTTCATGCTTTTCACGATTAATTTAGGTTAAGTCGCATGCTAAAATAAATTTAGTGATTGTTAGGATAACAATAAACGTTATGCATAAAATATTGGAAATTAAGTATTGTTGATGACCAAGCGATTCCAATTCTACACTTCATGCAGATTAAAATGCAACCTGCTAATAAAAATCAAGTAAAGGATGATGTAAATATAAATTATTATAAAAGTTTACCATGCAAAAAGCAGTAGCCAATTGAAGTCAAAGCAAAAAACTTGCTAATATCAACTAAGAGTTTGGAATTTGCTCAGAAACTTATAGATAAAAGAAAATAATAAATGCAGTTGTATTGATTCAGAATAAAAGAAACAAAAGCAAATCGTACAAGCAAATGAAATAATCAGGGAATACAAGGCGAATGACTAGTGTTATCTAAGGAATTTGGTTAGTTCAACGTCACAATAACTACTACATGAGAATGATTTGTTGGTGATAAGTAGGGCCGGGCATTTTCGAATATCTTATGGTTTCAGAATCTAATCGACTATTTTTCTAGAATCGAATACTTGGAAGATATGTAGTTGCATTGTTTTATCGTAATAGGTCCTCCAGACACATAAATTAGTGAAAACACATAATTTATCACTTAGTTGACTGACTGACAGTAAGGAACATGTTTTACCAATAACTCTCTCGGAAAAAAAAAGGTAAAAAGCTACAATTGCATTTCAAAAATATGTCATGAATTAAAAGAAGGGAGGGATTGATCTCGAACTACAGGTGGATAAAAAAACCAACATGATGACAGTTCAAAATTCCCATCCGAACAAATTCGAATAATTTACTATTCGATTCGAAATGCCCTGCCCTAGTGATAAGATAGCATGAGATATACCACATGCTAGTGCTGAAGCATAAGGTCTAATGCGTTTTCCTTTCTTTCCGGGTATCACATATTTCTAACCCTAACTGGGGTGACAAGCAGTTGACCTCTCATTAAAGTAGCATCGATTTATTACAGAAATTCATTAGTATTAATTTTAAGTACTGTTTTTAGTTGATTCTGATTCCATAATCAGCATAGCAAGCGATAAAATAATTGATAAAAATAAAAAAAACAGATCACAGAATCAGTAAGTAAAGTATAGGTTCAAACATTGAAATCAAGCATTTGAATTGAATGGCATTGCAGAAAGAAGTAGCGTATGTTTTATTTAAAGATTCTATACTTTGAACAAAATCATAACTTATAGCCTATGTATTATTTTTGGTTATTCTAACTCGCACGGATGTATCAGACATAAATCTAAAATTCCATGTCTAATATCCGCATGCCTACAAACACCACTAATTTACAAGCCTTTTCATTATATCTCACCATATATTTCACCAAGAGATTCTTCTTTAGATTCTGCCATTATATCCAAAAGCACAATATTTCCAAATTTATATCTTGAACATATTATTTCATTACATATAAATGACTGAATTCCAAGTACAAATTCCGTAAAAATAAACTCCAGAATTTTTCAAGTCAGAGGTTTGGGCAATACTCAAAAACATGTGAGATGTTCGTACATGAACCTAACCCTCTTGAAGAATCGAAAGTCAATAAGCTAGCTCAATCTTGTGGCAGCCTCTCATCTCTATGATTACCACTTCGGTTCAAAGTCAGAACTTGTAGGATAAGAATTTAATATTTATTAATTTCATTTTTTGACAATGATATTTATCACTACCGGATGAACCAAATGCTGTTTTTTTGTGTTAAAACAATAATATTCATCACATTTGCATTAAATGTCCCCATCCAATATTATCCCCATCACCCAAATACTGTTTGTCAAGCAAGTAAGCTTATTTCAGCACTATGATATACAGCATAAAAGTAACACATGAAAGATGAAAAACTGCATATGGACAGCCATGGAAGCATAAAATATAACTACATGCTAAGCCAGAAAAATAAAGTAACTGTTTCAATAAGTACTTATTTTCTGTTCTATTACCTCTGATTCTACTGTTATACTAATAAACTTATATAAATATACTATAGATATTTCAACTGGAACTATCTAATTTTTTTTTGTAAATACAGTCAATTAGGAGTACATTTTCATCATAATACCGGTACAGTAATATTTTTTTTTTTTTTAATGTTTCCACAATGTGGATTAATCAATAATTAAAGAATAAATAAAATAATATAGGAATATCAATAAATAAATGTATACAAGTGACAAAACAAATACATCATCAGCAGAGTAGTTGTTCCATAATAGTCCATTTTTCCATATAATAGTCCATTGGTATATCCAGACATTAATCATTAGTACAATATTTATTCATTAGCATTAATTATAATCATGAAAACATAAAAAATTTATTAGTTTCAATACTAAGGATCACTATGTAAAACTAATCAGAAGCGGTACAGTAATATTAATTTGAAACCTAACTGATTCACCAATTTCATAGAATAATTAGATCTGTATATCATACAATACAATAGTAGATTTAGATATGTAGCCGGTAAATTCTCTTTAACTAACTAACTAATGAATTCTGCCATATAAATTAATAATAAAGCTCATTGCAAACGTAAAATCAGCGTCTTTCATAACAGACAACCTCGACGACGAACGCAGAAGACGAAATGACTTATTATTATTATTACGACACAAGACAATTGCGGAAGAGTAATTACGCACATTGGGGAATCCCCTACAGCGAAAACAAGGTAGGTACAGTATTGTCGAGATCACCTTGCGTCATTACTTTATTAGGCAAAGGGTGGGGGCTCGTAGTGCATTGAACAGAAAAATGATACGTTCAAATGTGTAGCATGCGATACTCTGTTAAACTATAGTAAAACGTGCCCGGCGGCGGTCGGGGATAATTTACAATCGACTCCGATCCCCAAGTACAGTTTTAAGTATTTTGTGGCGTCTGCAGCTGCCGTAAAACCATGGCGGTATTTCCATACCGTGGCCGCTACGACCAAACTTATGGCGACTGACTTTTTAGCTGCCACAAACCAATGACGAGCTGCCGTTACCGCGGCAGCAAATTGAAAACCAATGGCAGGTAAAATTTTGCTGGCGTAACCGCGGCCAACGGCCGGCAACTAACTTGCCTAATGTTAAACAGGTTCATGGACGCCATCTTGTGCCATATTTGGTAAACGCGAAACAATGGAGTCTTACGGGAAATTTTCGTCGTGTTGTTGTACCGAATCGAACAAGTCCGCTTTTATAGGGGCTATAATGAAACTGAGGGGTGGATTTTGAACTATAAGATATATGCTATCTAAATATATAACGCAATTAATAATAAAAAACTATCTAATGCGTTAAATTTGACACCAAACACAGCGTAGAACCATTTTTGGCCTTTTTTTCAAAGATTTTATAGTGATACGCTAATTTGAGGCAGTAAAATGTCTCCGCAACAATCCTACAATGTCATTTGTTCTTCTAGCGCAGCTTGGAGCCGAGCAGTAAGGCAGTATGGAGCTTGACGGACGAAAAATATTAACCAGAAAATAGAAACGGCCATTGAAGCAAAGTTGGGTCGGCCGGTAATTTCGACGAATAAATACAACTTTTCATCTGTGACGTCATACGGAACGCCATTGTCAAATGGTTAATTATGACGATTAGAATGGCCTATTTACTTCGGAAGCAACTCGGAACCGGTATACATGTCTTCAAAGACAATTTGATGTACTATAAATGTAATTTGGCCAACATGAAAGGATATAAGCATGTTCGGCTATGATTCTATTTCAAAACGCGACCTTCAAAATTTTTCTACCTAAAATATTAGTGAAAATAATAGATATGTTTCAATAATTGTGTTGGAACTTCTCATAAGGCGCCGAGTTAAATTGCCGAGAACAATAGGCACAAGATGGCGTCCATTGTCTGAGCGTTGCCTCGCTTATATTATATATACGCTTTGACCGCGGCAGGTCAGGTGGGCCGTAAAGACAGGGCTGTCGCTTATGGTGACAAATATTGGGTAAGTTTGCAACGTTTTTCTTATGGATACAGTTTTGATGGATTCGGGGTTAGGGTTTACGTAGATATAATTCCGCATGATCAATTAAAATCTGGTACATTCATTTGTGAATATACCGGTAATACTGATTACTGAATAGCGCTATAAAACCATGGCAAGAGCTGCCGCGGTTCGTTCGTGGCAGGAGCTGCCATGAAGTGGTAAGAACTGCGCCTGCCGATCCCAAACCTCGAGAATCTAATTTTGAAAACAAGAAATCTAACGTATGCTCGCGTCGTTTAAGAAATAATAGTAAACTTCATGCTTTGTGATTTTCTGACGAAAATATTGACTTTTAAAGGTATAAAATTCCGACTTTAAGGAATTTGAAAATATAACAAACATATAACAGTCAAACACCGACTCCGCTGCTGGTTATTCTTGTCGTGAGAATTAAATAATATGTAGAAGAATATCGACGGACTCTTCGCCGCCTCACGTATCGCTGGTCGGTCACGGCTTCCTCGCCATCCAAATTTCACGGATAATAAATTTTGAGGGGGTAACTTACCAGAAGCCAGATCGTGGTCTGCCATACGACTAAGCCGTCCATCAGTTTTCTTATTAAATGTTATGTAATAGATTAGGAATGCGTGTGCTTACCCGGCGTAGATATGACTCCACGTGAAAAGAAGGGTTACTCAGGGCGCCTATTGCCGACATCATCAGTAATTGGGCAATATGCAAACGAGTCGCCTTATCGAACAACTAATCCTTAATATGGAAGACAGATGCGAGCGCGTGTACGTCCAGTTCTCTATCTTGCAATAGGAGGCAAGAATCAAGATATACTGATTTCGACTACTAAAACTGAACTATACACCCAATCGGCTCCTTTTTTTATCTGCAAATAACAAAGACCGGAATTCAATGGTAAAAATTCAAATATACCAGAATCTTGTTTTTTAATTGATATCATAAAAATTCGAGACATCAGATTAGTATAAATTTTGACAATTTTTCGATTGTTACCTTGACCGTGAGATGGCATAAGATGGATAAAAAATAATATATAAATATATATGTGTATTGACTTAACGCGCCTCGCTTTACCCTGAAATACTGTGTTTACAATTCTTCGTTACATTGTTAGTATGAAGTGTATTTTGAATATGATGAAAACTAATTTCAGAAACAGTTTCAATTTTAAAATCGTCAAGATCTAGTGATTTTATCATCGGCCATTTATTTGTAAAATTGTTTTTTGACGTCATTGATTAGGTAAGACACGTATGTTCATGAACGTAATCCCGGTATATAATATTCACCTATATTTAGATTGAACAAAATATTGAAATATGCCAAAGATATTGCACTGGAACAACGTCTTTATGTAAAAGGAAATTTTTAAGGTGGTGTGGGGTGTCAAATTTACTTCCGAGGCAAAGTGTGAAGTCTTCACTGAATTTAGCGAAAAATGATCTATGTGACTGTGAGGTTGAAACAACTATTAACGCAGCTAATATCTCAATATTTGTACGAATCGTCAAAACAGAATTTGAGGTTTTACTTTACTTCACATTTCACACATTGTTAACGTCCTCTACCGAATGATGGTATTTTGAAAAGAATAACTTCAGTAGGAGCGAAGCTCAGCGCCGTTAATAGCAGGCAGTCATTTTTCAGCAAAACTCAAGACTTGAAGACTGCAAGACTTCAATTCAGCCATCTCAAAAAAGCTGAAAAGCGATGAATGACTTGAGACAGTCAGTTCAGCAGTTAGGATCAGATTACAAACACTCATGCCCCAATGATTCCCTGCAATTTTACCAAAGTTTCAGAGTTGACTTAATGACATATTATAATGACAAACCGTGAGACAAATCAAAATCCAGAAATATAAAATAATAAATGAGCAACGATACCGCCGATACCGGTAAATAAGCATACAGTTACGTTCTAGTTTTCACTACACCGACTACAGATTAATGAAAAAACAAACAAAACCTTCATACCAAAATTATAAAAACAATGAAAATACGAATTTACAGTTAAGTCGAAAGTTTTTACCACGCATAGATATTTCAATGTTAAGTATGACACCGCTTTTATCCAATAAGTTTGTCAATATTCGATACGATGCAGCAATGCATAGCGAATTTTTCATATGACTGTCAGAAATAAGTCATCTCATGGGGAATTTGACATGGTTTAGCCACAAAAAAAAAACTTGCTCGTACAAGTAGCCTACGTGCTGCCAAATATTGATATTGAGGTCATAAAAACTGCCTCTTCTGCCTTCCTCACAGAAAAACAGATTGAAATATTTGGCAGGCGATAAAAATAAATTCAAACATCTCTCTCCAGCAATAACGCTCACAAAGGGACATAAATAAGCTTTCCATAGCTGGATGGTGCTTCTCGCGCGTTTGAATGACGAGGAATAATTTTTTATTAGAGGCTTCAATAATGGCCCAGATTTGTGAAAAAAAAATGGGATTCGAATAATACCGCGCCGGTCACTCGAAAACCTTCGGCGGGCCACGGGTTGGACGACCCCGCACTAAGCCGTCCTCACGCTGCAAGTTATTAAATTTGGTAAATATAAAAATTCATCATAGAGTGAGTGTCAAAAAAAAGGTGACAGAGGAAAACTGGAAGAAAACGTATTTCTATGCCCACCACAACGGAAAAACACAAGGCCTTTCCAGTAATATCCGTCACGAAAGAAGATAAATTGAAGCGACATTACAAAGCCAAACACGAAAAAATATACGGAAAATACTAAGTACTTCTCGAGAGAAGCCTTTTAAAAACAACTATATATATGCTTTATATATCTTCCTTTAAAAAACGCCATCCATGCAACATAATGATTAGAACGTTAAACTCTCATTCTTTAATATATTTAAAGTAAGTAAACTCGCGATATTTTGATCAAATTCTGTTTTTTTTTCGAATGCGGCCGGCCCGCGAGACCTCATCAAAAGTTTTTGCGGTCCTTCAACCTCGTAACCTTGGACCACCCTGTTTTATATAGTTTCGGTCGCTCTTGATATTTATATCGTTGCCTGACTATCGTTCCGAGATGATTGTTTATGTGCCATCTTGGTTTGATAATATTTTATGATAAAAATTGTCCGTGTCCAAAACAACCGATCTTCCACTGTATATTTTGTTCAACTTGTACCGGTATTGAAGGCGCTGGTGATAACAAACTGCTGCTTCGTCGGATCGAGGCACGTGTTTCATGTTTCTTTTTAAGTCACTTAACTAAATACGCCGTGTGATAGGAGGTGGATGAGGGAGTGGCACGTTGTTCGACGTATCG